TCAAACACCTTCCAACGAGCTCGTTTATACCCATGCGCAGTCCCAATGCCATACGAAACAACTGATACAAGTGAGGATTTAGTACGCGATCAGGATACGTTCTTTGTTGATGCCCAAACTCAAACAGACGACTCTTTAGAATGCACGTTGCGAAGAGAAATATTTCGGCTTACCGAAATAATTAACCCATACAAGCAAGTATGAAAGAGCTTAAATTAAAACCACTCGAAGCAAGGTCTTTAATGGAAAACTATTCCGCATGAAAAAAATTTAATTTCAAAATTGTTAGAGTTAAGCTCACATATAAAATTGGTAAAAAATGTGAAATCATACTTTTATAAGTGTCGAATAATGTTTAGGATAAAAAATTTAAATTTAAAAATAAACGCACAAAAGCATAAAACTTGGGCAACTAAAAAAAAGAAAATTGCTAAAACGATTTTATAAACAATTTCTTTAATTGTATTGACAAAATATATGTGATGTAAGTAATGTGAGTAAAACAAAACTATAATCGAAATAAAAGCCTAGGGCATCAGTGCTGATAAGATACATGCATCAATAAGGGTTAATTCGTTTGTTTATACTTTTTGACATTATAGTACCTTAAAAGAGAGCCGCACTGAGTTGTTAATCACACCTTGTTTACTACACCTTTGTTGGAAACTAGTCTTCGTTGTGGGTAGTGTAAATTTTCTGCCTAATGACAGCAGCCACTTTGCTTCTGCCGCGAAATCTATGTCCGTTTTGTTAACAAACCAATCATTTAAATTTATTCCCAACTTCTACATTTGTTGCTGTTTTAGTCTCTCCAGTATGGATGTTTGTATTGTTTCGCGTTCTTTTTTAATTCTTTGGCTGAGGCAGTTTTGCTTGCAGATAAAGGAATCCAGTAGTGCGATTCTGAATCTTATTTTAACCACATTTCACGTTGTTATCTCTAGTTAACAACTTTTTTTGGGGTTAAGTGATTGTGTATCAACTTTAACCATATTTGTCCTTGTTTAGTGTTAACAAACGCAGTCAGCTGCTTGGTGACAATTATTTTTGTGGTTAAGCTAACAGCATCTATTTTTCTTTGTTAAGCTGTTGTTTACAAATTTTGCTGTGAAGTTAAATTGAGAAAATTGAGAAAATTGTGAAGATTGTGTTAAAAAATGGCATTTGCATACATTGCATCATATTTATATGATAACGATAATGAGCAGCCATTAAACGTGCCAAGAATTGACCGGCGTAGGCTTCGCGAAATCGATAACCCTTTCGAACTAACGTTAACGGAGTTCCGGAGGCTATATAGACTCAGTCCCGGTATGGTTGAAAATATGGTGTCACAACTTGACAATCAATTAAGAGGATCGCGAATAACAGCGTTATCGACTGAAAAGCAGGTAAGTCAATATACATGTATTTCAACTTTATTAAATATTATAGGTGCGTTCCAGCAGTAGTACGAATTGCAGGGTCTGAAGGTTTCAAGGATTTACAGAAAAAGCTGCTTTTAACTTTAATAAACCTTATGTGACGTGGAACAGCTTTTTCTGTGAAACGTACAATTGCTATTACCGCTAGAAAGCATCTTGTATAAGCATGTGTTTATGTACTCGTTGAAGGTTCTANCTAGCTGCTCTACGGTTTTATGCCACCGGATGGAGGTTTTAGCTGCTCTACGGTTTTATGCCACTGGATGCTATCAACGCCCAGTAGGTGAACAGTGGGCATATCCATGAGCCAAACATCGATAAGCCGTTGCATACACCGTGTGACTGACGCAATCAACAATTCAATGTTTACCTCCAAAGTGAAGTTCCCTATGACGCAACTGGAGTGCCAAGCGGCAAAGGAAATTTTTGCGTCTGCACCTTCACCATTTGTAGCAGGAACTATCGGTGCAATCGACTGCACCCATGTTGCAATTTTGGCTCCCAAAAATAATGAATCAAATTATGTCAATCACCATGGGTACCATTCGATGAACGTGCAAATGGTAAGAACAAATGTACAACATGAAAATTTATATTGTTATTTTATAAAGGTTCAAACTACAGATATGTGATCCAAATCTTAAAATGTTAAACGTGAATGCAAAATTTCCGGGAGCACGACATGATTCGTTTATTTGGAGCTTCTCTGCAGCGCGTCGGGTCATGCAGCGATCATTTGAAACTGGAAATCACAACACGTTTTTGATAGGTAAGTTGTTTTAATTCCATACGAATAGAAATATTAAAAGAAAATAATTTCAGGCGATTCTGGATACCCGCTGGAGCCATGGCTGATGACACCTTTACCAAACGAGCCAGAAGGAACATCAAAGTTTCGCTACAACGAGGCGCTATGTAAAGCACGTAACCCGATCGAGAGACTCTTTGGCGTCCTTAAAGGCACATGGCGGTGCTTATCACGGCAAAGAGTACTTTTGTATGACCCCGGCTTTGCTGGCCGAGTAGTTAACGCGTGCGCAACATTGCATAACGTTCGTTTGGGCGATCAAACAACCGATTTTGACGATCGGGTTGTTTATGATCCCGAAATACTAAGCACTAATGACGATTCCGCAGCACCTTCTTCAGTAGCGAAACGTGTTCAGCAACGAATTATAGCAATTTTTTTAAATATTCGTATAACTTAATATATGCCGTCAACGATCGTCTCGATGATAGGCCAGCCATCCACCAAGAGACGCAAGTACCATTATAGCAAATTATATCAACTTATTTATTTTACTTGAGTTCGCTTTTATCATGAACGACTGCCTTTATTTTCTAGATTTGTTCAATGCACGTTAACTAACGCCTTTGTTTGTCATCCGTTTTTTTATCATCTTCCTCTGCACAATAAAATGGGCAACGCTTTTTGCATTATATGTAATGCATATTCAACAAATCAACAGTATTTATTTTTCACGTCCAATGAACATACTTGGCGAGCCGTTAAATGGCACCGCTAAAACTGCGAACTAACCAGCTAAATTTATTGATTTTTATACCTCAATGAAAAAGTTCCACACCTGCGCCGGCTTTAGTAGCAATGTATGCACGATTGCTCGTTCATACGAAATCGAACCGGTGGACATTAAAAGGATTCTTGCGTAAGCTATTCGGAAGAAGCAAGCTAGGGCTGTGCAATTAATTGATTATTCAAAACCTTAATTAATATCGTATTAATCATTATCATACTTTAAATATAATATGTTAATCGAACAAATGATTAACCAACTTGCTCGAGTAATCGAATAATCGCACAACCCTAAAGCAAACCCATATTTCATAATTGTTTACATTTTCATTAACTCTTATAGAGCAATTGTTGCCCTCTGTTTCCAAGCATCAATACAGCCTATATTGCTGAAAATGTTCCTAAATCTATTACAAAACAACCAACCCAACAGCGCCCTTACACTGTCCGGGCGTTTCGCTTTAAACCAATAAACAACAATTGAATTTGTGAGTGCCGGTGCTGTTGTGAAGGGT